CTGAGCTGAAGGCGCTCCTGCCAACATTAATTCTTATAAGTCTTTAAACCGGGCCTTGTTCCCTTATCTCTAAAAATGATCAGGTGAAATGTGTTAAGATCTTTCCAGATCAAAGAGTTTGATTCCATAAATAAAAATATATATGTATTTGTGGTTCTGAGTTTATGTATTTCTTGTATGTTATTTTTCCCTTTCAGTAGCAAGAAAATTTCCCTGGAAGTATTTACTTTTTATTTTTTAAAAAAAGATTTTATTTATTTATTTGAGAGAGAGAGAGCATGAGCAGGGAGGAAGGACAGAGGTCAAGGGAGAAGCAGACTCCCTGCTGAGCAAGGAGCCTGACGTGGGACTCGATCCCAGGACGCTGGGATCATGAACTGAGCTGAAGGCAGACACTTAACTGAGCCACCCAGGTGCCCTCCCTGAAAGTATTTATTAATGTAAGCAACTGCACTAATAAAAAAAAGAAAAAACTTACATTTCACTTAATTTTGATAATAAAATAACAGACAATTCTCTAGTACGACTGTTTTCCAGAACGGTACAAACAAATTCTACTTTTTAAAACACTTTTCAAGAAGTGAGGAACAGAGAAATTTATTTGATATTTGTCCCAGATATCTGTAGTAATTTGTTTTCATTCACGCATATAAGCAAGTGTTTACAATGAAATACCGCCAAAGGTGGCTATATGCCCTGCTCTCTGCAACCTTGTTCAAATTTGTTTCCCAAAAAGAATAAGAAATGAAACAGTCTTCTTAATTTTCCAAGGATACTTGCTGTTAACTCTTTGAATGTTTTTATTTAGACAGTGAATTTTGCTTGTTTTTTAGCATTTTATGAAAATGCTTTATTCTATTTTTAACTATTTATTTAATTTACTAATTTCATTAATTATTATCTTATTTAATAAACAGGGAACCAGAAATGATTACATATAAAGGGATTTATATTCTTGCCTCAGTAAGGGAGATTATTTCTTTTCCTCTGATTAGTCATGAAGAGGCAAATTTAGCAACAACCAATCATCCACTCTAATACCTTAAAATCCCTTAGATTCAAAACATCTGTTTTCTGCAAAGAGCAACAGTTCCATAACTAAGAAAAAAAAAATCACTGTTTTGGGGAACTAATACTGTAAACTAAATTTTCAAGGCAGCAATAATTTCAGTTCTAAAGATGATCTAGAAAGCACATGAGAATGGCAGTGCTTTCTTATTATCTAGGAACACTCAGTTCTTGCATGAGTTCATCCATGATGTAAAAGCTAAATCTTAAATGAATATATATTTTCTGACATTAGCTATGCCTTCCAATCAATTAATAAAGTAGATTAAGAAGCATACAGTTAGAGTGTCATAATATGAAAGGACCCTTAATGAAATTCTTCCAGAATTTTTATTTCATTTGCCATTTTAATTTCCTAATTAAAAAAATAGGCAGAAAAAAAAAGGGTGGGGGGAGGGCAGTGCCTGGGTGGCTCAGTTGGTTAAGTGTCTGCCTGAGGCTCAGGTCATGATCCGGAGGCCTGGGATTAAGCCCCACATGGAGCTGTGCATCCGGCTCCCTGCTAGGCAGGGAGTCTGCTTCTCCCTTTCCCTCTGCTCCTCCCCAGCTCATGCTCTCTCTCTCTCTCTCTCTCTCTATCTCTCTCTCGCTCACTCTCTCTCACAAATAAATAAAATCTTTAGAAGAAAATAAGCAAAAAAGTAAAATCCAACCGTCTACTATTTACAAGTGATACCTAAATTTTAACACAGCTGATTTGAAAGTAAAGGAGAAAAGATACTAGGTAAATGACAAGGAAAAGGAAGCAGAGGTGGTAATATTAAAGAGCAGACTGCATAGACTTTAAGTCAATGAGTAGTAAAAAGGGAAAAAAGTTATTTTATATTGATAAAATATCCAGTCCATTTAAATTAGTCATTAGCCATTATATGTATCATATAAAATAGCATGAAAACACATGTTGGCAGTAGTAAGAAGACAGGGAAAGACATCATTATAATGGGAAATTTTAACTATCCCTATGAATTCGACAAATTAAGTATACAAACTAATATGGTTACAGAAAAATTTTAAAAGCACGAACAAGGTTAATTTATATCCTAGAAATAGAAAATACACATTCTTTTCAAATTCCCACAGACTATTTTACAAAATAGACCATATACAAGGCCATAACAAAATCTTTAAAAATTATAAAAAGTAGTCATAGAGATTGCACATTTTAACAATCATAAAACAATAAAACTAAGAAACTTGTAATAAAAGGAGAACCAATTATCAGTATCACCATTATCTAAATGTGTGGAATTATAGTTTTCAAAAAGTTCTATATTTTTCCTTCTCTGAAAAGAAACTCCTTTAAATATGGTGTCTTTCAGTAAGGTCATGCTTAGATATCATTATTCTATGAATAACAACCACAATAATTTTGTTTTAAAAAAGGCTAAAATTGCTGGGAGGCTCAAAAAGATTAAGAAACATCATTTTCTTGATTTGTGTTCAATAATCCCCCAGTGGAAATGCTTATTTCCAGCCTTGTATTCATAGGAGCTCATACTTGAACTTATATACTGAAAAAGACACAGGAGCCACATACAAGTTCAAGATAGGGGAAGAAACACCATCCATCAGAACCAAAACTAAGGTTTATATAATAGACACAAAAAGACAAAACCAAGAGAATAAAATACATTTTAGAAAAACAAACTTCTTAGAGACCATTGTATTTTACTTGCATTTCCACCCCTAACATTCCTACTGTTATTCGTAAGGGTGTCTACTAGAAAACCAAGACCAACACCATTCATTCACAAACTAAGCAAGCTAATAATTGTTTTATTTCAATTTGTTATAACGGTCAGGAGAAGAACTTGGGCCAAAAAGATACCATGTTATCAAACCAGGGAATGAAAATTTACAGAGATTTCAGATAAAAAAAAATCAAATAAGCATAAATTTCCTCCAAATAAATACAAATTTCCAATTGTCAATTATAATGGTTGGTAATTTCCAGAATGCCAAAGAAGCCAAATTCAATTTCTCTATATTACTGATGTTTCCCTGTGAATTGGATTGAAGGCCTTATGGTATCCAGCTCCCATTGGACGGTGTTTAAGACCTAAATGCCTCACACTTCATATATCCAGTAAGTCTCTCCATTATAATGTGCCAATATGCTATGCAGTAATTGTATCTTAATGACAAGTACTTTACATTCAGACATTCAGTCTCTATTAACATTACAAAATTTGAAAGAAGAAAAACCCCTAGGTATTTGCAGTGTGCCAGATACTTTGTATGAGTCATGGCCAGGGCAGTGATCCTGCCATTAGTATAATAAAAAGAGGTATTATCTCTCCCTCCTCTGAACGTCTGTAGGACTTATTGCCCCAATCATTTATTTGGCACAGGTTCTTGAAGTAGTAAACTCTTCACATGCATCTTGTCTGATTTGAGTGAATCCTTAAGGGCAACAGTTTCATCCTCTACTTATTGGGATCTTCCACACAAAACCTTACAGGCAACAGTTGTTTTCTTGAATATTAAACTGACTATTGTTAGCTAACTAAAGAACGCCACCAACATATCTTTCCTTCAACAACATCTTTGGAGCATGATTACTGCTTTATACTCCAGAATGCCCATACTTCCAAATTTTCTGAAAAATGAAAATGAAGCAAACAAAGACAAGGTCTACTTAAAATAGCTAGATTTAAGGTAATTGGCATTAGATAAAATGAATAAATTTTCTTTAGAGTAATCCTAACTCTAATCAAAGATCTAAAAAACCTAGTTTATAGCAGAATTGGAAGGGCCCCAACACTGTTTCAAATTCCTGTCCCTGGATTAGAAAATAAAAGCAACCACAACAAAGCTTTACCATCTGTCTCCAAACATTCTTCCTCTCTGCTCTAGACCTTCTTATACTCAGTGAGTGGTCACCTCTACACCTTCCAAAAGGTTCCCATGGCTCGTGGTCTTCAGCAATAACATTGTCTAATGACTCTCTAACATGAATCAAAATATCCTTAAGGACTTGTTAAACACATATTGCTGGGCTCTACCCCTAGAGTTTCGTATTCAGTAAGTCTAGTGGGGACCCACATTATTTGCATTTCTAACCAGTTTCAGGTGATGGTGATGCTACTCAACCAGAGACCATACTTCAAGAAACTATATTATATGCTCAAATCTTCCCCCATTTCTGAAATGTTTATTGTGTCTGACTAAATTACTCAAATCAATTTTAAAGTTTAATTCTTCTTTTAGATGAAGGTTGATTTCTTTACCTATTATTCTAAATAGGTGTTGGCCATGCGGGCTAAATGGCAAACACCATCTTCATGTGGAACCTTTCAGTATAGTATTAAATGTTTTTGGACAAAGAGTGACTCCCTAACTTTTCCAGCTCCAAAATGCCAACAGTCATTTGGACCCGGTGATCATCTCTACAGGAAAGCGCCAAACTAGTTATTCAGCCTACATTATCCTAATTTAGCGTTACAGGGATGCACATATTACTGTCTCTGCTGGGAATGTTTTCCCCTTCTCCAGTTAATTTTTCTTCTTTCTTAGCTCAGAGGTGACTTATTCAGGGAACCTTCCTTTTCTTCCCCAACTAGGTCAAATGCTATTAGGGGTTTTCACAGTCACTGAATCCTCTCCTTCGTAGCTCTTGTCATGGTTGCATTTTTTACATTTGCTTATATAAGTATTTTAACTAATAGCAATTTTCTGCACTGGATTACAAGCTCCAGACCAGACAGGCAAATATTTTTGGACTGGATCACCATTATATTTTCAGCACCTAGCACAATATCAGGGACAAAGAAGATGTTCAAATGAAGGTAGACAAGATCTGAGCTTTTTTTGCCCAAAGAAAGATAAGAAAAAGTATTCCTTTCTTTACTCTGCCTCCTTATTTGTTTTTCCGCCACCTGATACTCAAACAAACAAAAAAAAGCAAGCAAGAAAAAGACAAAAAGACTTACCTTTTCTGAATAATTCTTGGAGACTTTCAGCACTTTGATTTAATATAGCCCATATTTCTTCTTCCTGCAGAGGTCCACCCCGAACCTCCAGGGCCTCAGCTAGTGACACATGCATATTACCTAAGAAACAAAGGTAACAGGTGGGCTACACATCAGCAACTTGTACTGCACGTGCAATAGTGGAAGTTCGACATCCGTGATGAGAGACTGAGGTTCCTGGCTACCTCATTTCTCAATATGGACTTCAATCTAGATATCATCCTACATCTTAAATGCATAGAGGATAAAGGGATTGGAGGGGAAAAACCCTCAAAACAGCGACTTGCCCTAGCCCCATAAGGTCAGCTTCAGAGCCTGAACGGGAAAACAGGTGGTGACTATTTCATGGGAGAAGACAGAGACTTCAAGGTCTCAGGAGGCAGCAAAATGCAGACGATAAAATCAAAACAGCCAGATTGAACAGAAGGCGTTTCAGATTATAGTTCTAGGCTTCACCCTATCCATCCCAGGTAATAAGAGGACAGGAGCTCCTACGGCCATGGTGCATGAAGCTGAAATAAGATGGAACACATTTCTTCCATTCACTAATTGATTTCTCTATCTTTGATATATATAATATAACTATAAATTTTGTACTGAATGGACTTAACTACTTCTAGACCCAGCTTTGCTGCCAACTTAGCATTTGCCCTTGGAAAAGTCATTTCATCTCTAAACCTCAGTTTTCCATCTGTGACATGGGAATAATAATAATAATAATGCCATTTTGGGGTTTATAATGGGGGAAAAGGGTATTCCTGTAAACATGCTTTGTAATCTAACTCTATAAAGGTTGAATTAATAAAAAATCAGAAGGGTGCCTTTGTGGGGACATTTCTGTAGGGTAATTTTTTCAATGGCATTCAATTAAGTGGGTGATAGAATGACAAATTTTAAGGTTTTCTACTGGGGCACAATAATCCTACTTTCATCGTGAAAGGGGGGAATGCAGCTACTTAATATCATCATATATAAAGTTTCCTACACTGACATTTCTTGAAAAGAAAATTGCTCTTGATCACTAAGATTTCTACCCATTCTAACCAATTTAAGTATAATGTGCATAATGTATATCTCTTGGTAGGCAGAAGCAGATGGGTTTGGAAAAGAAGCTAGAGGGAGTGGAAAATGTTAAATGCTTATTTTCTGTAATTATATCCTTCATTAAATTTTAAACTTAACCTATTAAAAAACAGCTGTTTCAGACAAAAGCTGACTTTGTTTACTCAACTAACGAAGATGGCTAATATTTTTTTAAATTTACATTTATGATACTTTAACCCAAACTGAAAAAAAGCAATTCCAGCTACAAAGGAGGACAGCCATGTCTTGTTACTTTCCTTTTCAAATGTTTACTATGGCATTTTATGCTTAGTATCTGCCTTAAGGGGTGTGCACTTAAATGCACAGTGTAGTAGTTAAAAGGGAAGATGTAAGATACTGCTTAGAAAAAGCCAAAGGCATTTTTACTTAGCTTGCACAGAACTGATTATTTATTCAGGCACCTCTCCCCCACAAAAAAACTGTTTCTTATGCACTTTATTAAATGATAGTACATTTTTAAAAAAATAGTGAGATGCATTGCTTTCTAAGAGACATCTGAGTTATTATCTTCTACAGAAAACACTGCATGAAATTTGAAGTTTCAACAGTCGCATCAAGATACTATTAGCAATCAGATACCAACAGGATTTGTGAGAAAGTCTACCCTGTAGCAAATTTCCAAACTAATATGTCTGAGAATACATATAAAGATAAAAAGAGTAGAGAGAAAATTGCATACGAAGAATTTCTTTTAAGATAGCTGTACTGATGTTCGTGCCTCCTTCCCAAAACAGGAGGGGTATAGTATAGGAAGGTGCCTTTGTTTGACCTCTAGCTGGTAAAAGAGGCCTCCATGGGACCATTATGAGTGCTTCCCTGATATTAGGGATGCCATAGGGAGGACACCACAGACTGGTACCTGATACTCTAGGAATCTAAAGGTTTCTAAATCTAAAGGCTCCTAAAAATACTAGATACTTCTAAATCTAAAGGCTCTCACTCTGACACAGAAGCTAAAGAGGAGAGGGCACATGAGATTCAGAGTGATGAAGCATGCTGTATTTGGGATGGGAAGGTGTAAATAAGCAGGCCCACACAGAAGGCCAGCTTGGAGCTAACAAAATCCTACCCAGACGATGAAAATGTTACAAAATTTAGGTTGTGGTAATGGTTAAACAACTCCGTGTCTATACTAAAAACCACTGAAGGTACATTTTAAAAGGGTAAATTTTATGATATGTCAATTATATCTCAGGAAAGGTATCTAAAAACAAAACAAAACAAAACAAAAAAACGACCCTACTCAGAGTACCTCTTGAGTTCCCAGAGAACCTTCAGGAGGGGGAAGGTGGGGGAAGGGGAGGAGTGATGAACAGAAAGGATTAAGGGGTAGGAAGAGAAGGAGGAGAAGGAAGAGGAAAAAGAATTCAGTAGGGCTCATAGGAAGAATCATTTTTTTAAAATGTCACAGGAAGTATAGCTCCAGTAAAGGTCTCTGAAGAACACACAAAAGTACACATAAGAGAAAGAGTCAGCCTTAAGAACATACCAAGTTCAAAAAGAGTTACAGGTCAGGTAAAAAAAATTGTTTGCCTCTTTACCTTTCTTCCTGCCCCTAGTTTAAATCCTGATGGGATCAGATAAAGCAACTTGCCAGTGGGTGAGGAGATAAGCAACAAAAAGAAGAGTCAAGCACACAGCCTCGTAGCTAGGGGAGGGAATAGTTTTAGCTTTGAATGAAGACTGAAGTGTTGATTAATATACTTACTAGGCACTTTTTTTTTTTTTAAGATTTTATCTATTTATTTGAGAGAGAGAGAATGAGAGAGCACATGAGAGGGGGGAGGGTCAGAGGGAGAAGCAGGCTCCCCACCGAGCAGGGAGCCCAATGCGCGACCTGATCCCGGGACTCCAGGATCATGACCTGAGCCGAAGGCAGTCGCTTAACCAACTGAGCCACCCAGGCGCCCACTAGGCACTTTTAATTACGGAATTGACACTGTATTTTCAACTTGAGTGACTGTAGTTATTAGTGACTGTAAGGAGAGAATTATGGACCCGAGTTTTTATTTTTAATTTTTATTTATTTATTTTGAGAGAGAGAGAGTGTGGGAAGGGGGCAGAGGGAGAGGGGAGAGAGAGAATCTTAAGCTAGCGTCATGCCCAGTGCAGAGCCCGATGCCGGGGCTTGATCTCACCACCCTGAGATCATGACCTGAGCCAAATTAAGTGTCAGGCACTTATAACTGACTCGGACACCTAGGTGCCCCAGACCTGAATTTTTTATATAGAGGCAACAGAAGAACTTCTCTCATGGAAGGAAGGAAGGAAGGTGATGGACAAAGTAAGTTGCTTATGATTATACCTTATGCATTGTAAAGAAAATGATCTGTATCACACACACAAAGTTTTAAATCTTAAGATACAGATTTTTACTTATTTTTAAAGAAATAGGTTTTTAAAATATAATTATTCTCTATAAGAAAATGAAAAAGTAAAAGTAACTTACAACAGAATTTTTTCAGTGTTTGACTTTTCTATCTATAAAGATTACTAATTATACTTCTGTTGCTTGACTCGATCAGGCTGAATTATATTTTATTAATCCTCTTAATTTTTATTAAAAAGTTTTTGTCCATTCAGTGTAGTAGGATCTCTACGCATCTCTGGTTGGAACTTGTTAGAACTCCAAAACCTAGAAAACATTGTTTTCTAAAGCAATATTACCTAGCTAACAGAATAGATTTGATATTTATAATTTATAATTTGCTAGAAAAAGACTTTAAGATTTTTAAAAACCGCATCACCCTTCTAATCGCCCAATCTCAAAACTTAATGTAATGTTAAAGCAGCTTTCTAAATATCAAACAACACTATACCTTCTAAATTGTCTATCACCATGTTTGGCAACTGCTTACCATCATCATCATTTTTTTCTGTTACTTTTATTCACCTTTACTATAGTTTTCCAGATCATTAGTTCTGAAAGGAAAGAGAAGACAAAGGAATGAAAGAAATGCATAAGTATAAGGATGAAAAAAAAGTGGAGAAAAAGAAGCTTGAAGTCAACCAACAGATAAGGGAAACAATTTGTCATGAAAATTCTTTTTTTTTTTTTTTTAATTTGACAGAGAGAGAGAGAGAGAGCGCGCACACAGCAGGGGAAGCAGTAGAGGGAGAGGAGGAAGCAGTAGAGGGAGAGGAAGAAGCAGGTTCCCCAATGTGGGGCTTAATCCCATGACCCTGGGATCATGACCTAAGCTGAAGGCAGATTCTTAACTGACTGAACCACCAAGGCGCCTCTGTCATGAAAATTCTTAAAAGTGTATTACTTCAGTTGTTTTCTTTAGGCACAGTACTAGATAACCTGGGGTACAGATGTATGACTGGAATTATTTTACTATCAAAGAGGTTCTGCTCTACAGTAAACTTAACTGTATTCTTCACTTTTGTTTCCTTGAGTGTTGTTGGTTACATAAATAAGTTTAAGGGAAGACTTTCAAATAAGAAAAATTAATTATATTACATAACCAGAATCATTACTGTGTTTTTGGTTAACACAAGTATTAACTATCATGACCTTAAAACTGTGCCCAGTCAGACAAAGCCACAAAAGGATTCTAACAGATGTCATCTTAATCCTGAGGGATTTGTGTCACTCACAAATAGGAAGCACAGAAAAGTGATTCCAAAAAGAATGAAATAGTAAACAGATTAACTGAATCCAATCAAGTCATGTAATAACCTGTCTGGGGGTAGACTAATGAATTAGGTGTGTTTAAGTTGATTCTAAGGAAATAGGGCTGTAAGACTACCCTGTTTTAGAACAAAGCAACTACAGAATAGAGCTCAGTGTGTGCCACTAGTTTTGGGCAAAGAGCCACTCACCATCCTGGCTAAGGACATCTTTGGTCATTAAGAAACCATGAGTTGAGAAAGCAACCTCCAAAACTGTAAGTTATCTTTTAACCCAAAAAGATTCACAATGAAGTTTATAAAAAGTTTAAGAGAAGCAAGCTCATATATTAGTTATTTTT